TTTCTTGCTTCTGCCACAAATTCCCCCAGCTGTGAGCCTTCCAACCTTCTAAGTATTTCTTTATATGTGGTTCAGAGTTCTGGGACCATTCCCTGAGCCTGCTTGTTCGGGTATTCTGTGTTGTTGTTGGCGGAGCTCTCTGCTATATGTCCACCTGACCCGCCATCTTGTTTGTTCCCTCCCCTGTGTGTTTTTGAATGACTGGTTTTCCAGATAGATTGCCAGGTTTTTCTTCTGCGGTATTCCTGGGTGGACTTGAACCAGCAGACCAGTGCTTAACCATTTGTGCTACCCAGAGGTAAGCTGAAAACACAAGCGTGCAGGAAATAGCAGTAGCCATGCTGTCCAGCCCTTTTCTCCAGATCACAGCTGTTACTGTCTAGCCCAAATTGTTAGTGGCATTTCCGGTCACTGGCTTTTCTTGAGATGAATAGCAAAAATTATGATCTCTCCATTCGCAATGGTAACAGTAATTTAGGGCAGCCCCTCTTTGACTCCCAGTCTTGGCTGAGGAAGTCACATGCCAATAAAGTGCTTTGAGAATATACTCGACAATTAAATAAGGTACTACCGAACACTCTCAAAACTAATCACAAATAGTAGAAAGCAGCAGTAGAAAGCAGCTGGAACTACAAAGAGGCTGATGGCCCAAAGTACTCACTATAGCCCAACTTTCTGCTTCTATTTGATGTCCTCTGCTTACTAGTTGCTTTCCTTTGGACAAGTTATTTAGTCATCTGTGGCCCTCTTTGGGATAGCTGTTTTACAACTTGGAAGGTTGTTTTACAACTTGGAAGAGAATGTGGCACAAAGGTAAAGACTCAATAAATGTCAGCTATTATGATCAACAAAACTGTGGGCTCGGGTCCAGCAGGGCAGAGGATAGTCAAAGCATGTGAGGTAGGTCCAGAGGTCTCACATGTTTGGATCTCTAGAAAACTCAATCTTATCATCCCTAAACTGTGGGTGGGGTGGCTGACCCGGAGCCTCAGAGCTTCCAACGTGGACAGCTCCAACAAGGCACAGAATACTCTGGGCACCAAGGACATAAAATGTACTGGACCCTCGGGAGATGAAAAGAAGGGACAAAGTGGCCACATAAAACAACATGGAAAAGTGCAACCGCAATGACGGCTACTACTGCTGAGGTGGAAAAGGGTCCCTGAACTCGTCACCCCTCACACACAGCCCTATTCCTTCTTCCCTTTCAAATCTTCACCGATGCCCTTACAAATCCTCCACAATGTGGTTAATCTTTAACCCCCCCCATATCTCACCTACAAACCATCTAATCAAAGATTGTAACCCAGGAGAAGAAACCGCCCAATAACGGTGTAAGAATCTGCTGTCTCAGCACATCAGTCAACAGAAAGGGCAAGTGTCAACTGGCAATATCATCTGGTGCCTAAAAACTGGACACAAATGCCTCAATGGTAGTCTCAAGAGGGAACTCTTGAAACCAGGTAGTCCTATTTCTGAAGAGGACCCTGACAAGTGTGATTCTCCCCTGACCAGCAAAAGAACACAGAGAAACACCGCTGACGTCAGTACAATTCTTTATCTTGTATCCTTGTTTCAAATGCCTCCTTTATTTGAAGTCTAGTTCTTTAGTTCATAAGCAGATAGCGTTGCTGTTTTAGCCAGCCTATTAACTTAAACTGGAGTCCCTGGGTGATGTAAGTCGTCATTGAACTTGGCTATTAACTCAAGTTTACCCAGAGGCATCTTGGAAGAAAGGCCTGGTGATCTGCTTCCCCCCAAAACCAGTCACTGAACCCCTGTGGAGAACATAGCAGTACCCCAACACACCCGAGGTTACTGTGAGTTAGAACTGACTTGATGACAACTGGATTGAAAAACAAATTTAAATTAGACAAGAGCAATCTGAAAACATTAAAAAAATGGTTTTGTACAATTAAAAGTATCTGGCATATTAAAAAATAAAGCATCACGGCTATTAAAGTGAAATCTTAAATGAATGTATGCTCAGAAAAAATTGGACTCTTGTAGCTCTGTAGGATACGCACTGGACTACAAACCACAAAGTCAGCAGTTCAAACCCACCAGCTGCTCCTTGGAAACCCTATATAGGGTCGTTATGAGTCAGAACCAATTCAACGACACTTAACAACAACAACAACAAGAAAGACAAAGTTGGGGTGGCATTGCAGGATAAATACCGGACTGCTAACCACAACATTGGAGTCCTGGTGTAGTGCTGTAGAGTAAAGCACTGAATCACAAGGTTGGTTTGAACTGCAAGGTAAGCAGTTCAACTCCCCCAGTTGCTTCTTGAAAACCCTATACAGGATCAGTATGAGTCAAAACCAACTCAACAGCACTTAACAGCAACAACTACAACAAGCATAAGAACGGCAATTCAAACCCACTAGTGGCTCTCGGAAACCCTATACAGGGTCGCTGTGAGTCAGAACCAACCAGATGGTACACAATACCAACAAAAGACACAATTACATGAAAAGGAACTTTATGGATCTCCAAATTGTTTTTCTACATTAGAAAGTTTTTTTAAAGAGCATCATATTTGTGTGTATTGTTATTGTTACATTTTTAGTTTTCAGGAGTTAAAGATAGCTAGTGCTGTTGAGGCTAATGGTCACACACTATGATTTATATTTTATATACCGAGCACTTTGTTTACATTCTCTCATGGAATCCTTACAGACTTCCTATAATACAGGTTTTGATATAATCTCTGTTTTATAGATAAAGAAAGTGAGGTTAGAAAAGTTAAGTAACTTGTTCAAGGCCATACAGCTGGTGGGCGGCAGAGCCAGGATTTAAACCAGGGATATTGGACTCGTTTCTGAACTGGAGAGTGTCTTTCTCTGCAATCAGTCAAGTGCAATGAGCTTTAAGCATAGCATAGTAAAGAGCCAAGTAGGACAATTGTTCAAAGTGTTTCACATACACGGTCTCAGTTTTCATTTTTTTAACATCCCTTTGAGGGTAAGGGAAGTATAGTACCTCCACTGTGGAAACAGAAATGATACGACTTGTTCTAAGGCACATAGTAGGCCACTTGCTGTTGTTGTTAAGTGACATTGACCCTGTACAGGGTTTCCAAAGAACGGGTGATGGGTTTGAAGTGCTGACCTTGCGGTTATTAGTTCAGTATTTATCTTACAGCACCATGGTAGGTCAATAGCAGAGGAGAAGCTGAACTTAGGTCTTCGGCTCCTAATCACTATTGATACTAATTCTCTTGAGGAAAGTCTACAGAATTCTGCAGGGCAAGAATTGACAGAAATTCAAAGGAGGTCTCACTCAGGTCCACCCAGACTCCCAGGGCCCTGAAGGGGACCTTACCACCTGGCTCCCATCCATTAGCTTCTGTGGTCAGGGCTTGGAGGATGCTGTGGTTCTTCAACTCTGAGATCTGTTAGGGCAGTAGAGCTTTAGTGTAAGGATGAAGTCCACGTCTCCCCAGCCACACAAACACTGCCCCCTTCTGTAAGGAATGCCCCTGAAATGGAGGTTGGAAAGATCTAGTGGACCCTGATGGGTTATGTAAAGCCAGTCTTAAAGTGAAGTACTTGGAAAACTCCACTTGCAATATAGAAGTTAGACAGGCTAGGGGATAAGTGTGTGTCTTCCTTGATGTGTGTCTTCCTTGAATAGTAAATAAACCAAAATCTACACAACGCAGCTGACACTGAAGGGCTCAATGTACTTTACACTCTGCATCATTATATCATTACCTTACTCCACTGAGATGGTTTTTGCATGTTTGTCCCTCATACCCCTCCTCAGATGGAATGTGAGCTCCTGAGGGCAGGCCTATGACAGATAGCACAGTGCCTGGGACCCCTCAGCAGCACACAACAAAAGCTTGTATTAGAAGCAGGCATGGAGATATGGAAAATACATACAGGAATTCCTCTGAAAGTGGGGAGAACATGATTCTCCTTGTCATGTGATGGAGGGTACCCAGGAGACACTCTCTCAACCTGCAGGAAATAACGAGGGTCAATCTTATGAACACACATCAGTCCCACAAAGATGATACTATGAAAGTTGCATTTTTTCCCTCCAGTACCACAAAAAATGTCCATCTGGCATTGTTGATGCCAGATGGAATTTGGTTGAAAGCAGCGAATACTATAAATAAGTTTGTGTTTTATTGATTATGCAAAAGCATTTGACTGTGTGGATCATAGCAAACTATGGATAACATTGCAAAGAATGAGAATTCCAGAAAACTTAATTTTGCCCACGCAGAACCTAAACCTGTACAGAGACCAAGAGGCAGTTGTTCTAACAGAACCAGGGGATACTGTGTAGTTTAAAATCAGGAAAGGTGTGCACCAAGGTTGTATCTTTTCACTATCTTTATTCAAGCTATATGTTAGGCAAATAATCTGAGAAATTAGATTATATGAAGAAAAACATGGCCTCAGGGTTGGAGAAAGACTCACGAGCAACCTGTGATATGTGGATGACACAACCTTGCTTGCTGGAAGTGAAACACTTACTAGGGAAGATCAAAGACTACCTACAGCTTTCAGTATGGAGGCTTTACTTCAATGTAAAGAGAAAATTCTTACAACTGGACCAATAAATAACATCAGATAAGAGGAGAAAAGATTGAATTTGTCAAGAATTTCATTTTACTCGTATCCACAGTGAATGTTCATAGAAGCAGCAGTCAAGAAATCAATGAGACATATCGCATTAAGCAAATCTGTAAAAGACCTCTTTAAAGTGTTAAAGAGTACAGAGGTGACTTTGAGGACTAAGGTGTGCCTGACCCAAGCCATGGTATTTTCAATCTTCTCATATGTATGTGAAAGCTAGATAATGAATAAGGACGACTACAGAAGAACAAATGCATTTGAATTATGGTGTTGCTGAAGAATATTGAAAGTACCAGGGCTTGCCAGAAGAATGAACAAATCAGATTTGGAAGAGGTACAGTCCAAGTGTTCCCTAAAAGCGAGGATGGCAAGACTTCATGAGTCATACTTTGGACATGTTGTCAGGAAGGACCAGTCCATGGAGAAGGACATCATGATTGGTAAACTGGAGGGTCAACACAAAAGACGAAGCTCTCCAATGATGTGGCTTGGCACAGTGGCAACAAAAATGGGCTCAAACGTAACAACAATTGTGAGGATGAGTGGGACAGGACCAAACAGTGTTGTATGTAGGATGGCTATGAGTAAGAAACAACTCGGCAACACCTAACAACAACCACCACAAAAATAGGATGAGTTCCAGAGAAGTCACTAAAAAGAACACTGGGAAAGAAAACGGTTTAATCTGACCTTAAGAAAAATTTCAAAAAAACTCAGTTAATGTTATCTCAAAAATCTTAAGCATCTGTTTCAGCTCTGCCTGAGTGAAGCTCATAAGGCAGTTTCTTCTGGCCTTAATGCTCAGTCAAACCTTTTCCCAAGTTGAGCTTAAAAAAAGAAATACAAAAACAACTGACCATATGGGGGGCAGGCTTGCAGGGTATACCCTCTGGTTGGTTGATGATGCATGGAGGGGATAGTAACCATGGCAATGATACGATACACGATAGAATGAATGTAAAACTAATGTTCTCCCATGTAAACTATCACATAATTAAAAAAAACACAAAACTGACCAATTGTTTGTAACTCACATCATAGGTTCAGTGAGAATTTTCTTAAGATGTTAAAAAACAAAACTCTAAAGGTTAAGGTTAGGGTCAGGTCACACATTAAGGGAAACACAAATAATTCTTAAACATGTGAAAAAATGTTCAATGTCCCTCATAATAAGAGACACACCAATTAAAAAGACTCTGAGGAGATATATTGCCCCCCCCCCCTTTTTTATAAAAAGTTTTTATTGTTAAGTGAATAATCATTCAATTTACATGGGGGAACATCAGTGTTACGATCATTGTTTCATTGCAATGATTACAATCTCCTCTGTGTATCATCATTCAGTAGTATTTGCTTCTACTCCCTCTGGGTTGTTTTGGGGTGTGTGTGTATACACAAAAACACTCAGGAATATATAATCATTTCAACAACCTAAGGATACATTCTGCAAGCCTGTCCACTGGCCACCAGCATCTGGCTGCCAGCACATAGCTTTTCTCATTTCATGAGTTTAGAGTTGAAGTGATATTTTACACTTAACAGATTGGCAAAGATCAGAAAGCTTGGCTGGCTATAGTGCAACGTGTTACATCACACTGGCCAGTAAACTGTTACCATCGCCACGGTTTCACAATATCTGACAAAATTATATTTGCTTTGTACCTTTGACCTTGTAATTCCATCCTAAGAATTTAACCTACAGATAAACACGTCCATACAAAATGGCAAATTCACTGTGGTGGCGGTAGCGGTTATGTGCTGTGGAGCTGGTTCCGACTCACAGCAACCCTGTATAGGATTTTCCAAGGCTGCAAATCTTTATGGGAGCAGAAAGCCTCATCATTCTCCTATGCAGTGGCTGGTAGATTCGAACTTATGACCTTTCAGTTAGCAGACCAACATGTAGCACACTACACTACTGTTGTTGTTGTGCCGTGGAGTCGGTTTCGACTCATAGCAACCCTGTACAGGGTTTCTGAGGCTGTCAATCTTTATGGGAGCAGAAAGCCTCATCTTTCTCCCACAGAGCCGCTGGTAGTTTCGAACTGCTGACTGTGAGATTAGCAGTCTGATTCGTAACCAATAGGCTACCAGAGCTCCTATATTCACTGTTGTTGTTGTTAAATACCATTCTGACTCACAGCCACCCTGTATAGGGTTTCCAAGGAGTGGCTGGTGAGTTTGAACTGCCAACCTTGAGGTTCAAACTGACATTATGGTCCAGTGTTTATCCTACAGCACCACACTGTAGCACACTTGTCAGAAAAAGGCTTACAGGACCCTCAGTGTCCACTAAAGAACTGATTAAACAAATTAAATAAAGTATATCTACTCCAGGAGATCCTGTGTGGCCATTGAAGAGTTCCACAGGGACAATATGAAGCAACCTACACGATACAATAAGAGAAAAAAGCAACCCAAGACCAAAACCAAACCCACTGCCACAGAGCTAATTCCAGCTGACTGTGACCCTGTACAGAGAGGTTGGAGGCTGGAAGCCTCATCTTTCTCCTGAGGAGAGGCTGATGGGTTTGAACTGCCAACCTTGTTGTTAGCAGTCCAGTGCTTATCCTATAGTGTCACCAAAAAAATCAAAGGACAGAATATATACCCACTCAACTGTTTGTGTTTTTCTCAATAAAGAAATAAACACATTGGCTTGTCTCGGGAGAAACTGTTTCCCGAGTTCTATCCACGGGAAACTGGTGGCTGAGGGACAAGGGTAGATGACGTCTTTTTCACTTTTCTTATATCCTTCTGTACGGTTTGGATTCAGAATCATGTGAAAAACGTCATTTTCTCTAAAACTAAATAATAGAAAAGACATTTTTAAAAAAGGAATCATCACTTATATCAAAGCCCTAGAATCCCACATACACTGTTACTCTAATTTCTTCTGTATATTTTTGCCAACTGGTGTGGCACTGCGGGTTAATGTGCTGGACTGCAAAGTTGGTTTGATCTGCAAGGTTGGCGGTTCAAGCTTACCAGCTGCTCCTTGGAAACCTTATACAGGGTCACTATGGGTCAGAACCGACTCGACGGTACTTAACAACAACACTTCTTAAACACAGCTTTGATTTCTTTATTCCCAAGATGCAAGACTGAACGCCCAAGTACACCAGAGCAAAGCAAACTGCCCAAGAACTGGCTTCGTGATGCCTACATACTGTCACCTCCCACTTCAGTCCAATGAACACATACCTCTCCTCATCCAATGAACACATACCTCTCCTCATCTCCAGCCCTTTGCTTATATGGTTTTACACCAGAATACAGCCCAAATAAAGCACACCTGACCCAAGCCATGGTATTTTCAATCTCCTCATATGCTTGTGTAAGTTAGACAAGAATAAGGAAGACTGCAGAAATAAGGAAGAAATGCAGAAGAATCAATGCATTTGAGTTATGGTGTTAGCAAAGAATATTCAAAGTACCACAGACTGACAAATCTGTGTTGGAAGAAGTACAGCTAGAATGCTCCTTAGAAGCCAAGATGGCGAGACTTCATCTCTCATACTTTGGACATATTGTCAGAAGGGACTAATCCCTGGAGAAGGACATCATGTTTGAAAAAGCAGAAGGGGAGCAACAAAGAGGAAAAGCCCAACAAGATGGACCGACACAGTGGCAGCAACAATGGACTCAAACTAACAACTGTGAGGATGGAGCAGGGCTGGGCAGTGTTTGTTCTGCTGGACATAGGGTCACTATGAATCAGAACCAACTTGATGGCATTTAACAACAACAACAACCTATTATGGGGGAGTACTGTGGCTCTGTAGGCTAAGCACTGGACTCCAAACCATAAAGTTGGCAGTTTGAATCCAGCAGCTGCTTCACGGGAGAAAGATGAAGCTTTCTGTTCCTGCAAAGATTTACAAGCTCAGAATCCCTATACAGGGTCCCTATGAGGTGGAATCGACTAGACAACACTTAACAACAATGACCAGATTACTACTAAACTGTTACTAGTAATCCCAAACCAACACCATCGCTCCCAAATAGGAATATCGCTTACCTGTCCATCTTTTAATTCTTTCTCATTATGGTAAGAGCAAGAATTTTCATTCATGGCTCAAACCTTTCGACCAAGTGAGTGTTATCCTTGGGCTCAGAAAAAGGTTTAATAAGGTCCAAGAGCCAGAGATGCAACTATGCTACATTTGCTGCCCTTTTCGGCAGTCATGCCAACTAGGAGTAAGAAAACAGTCCCTTTGGGCCATCACCAGGGTGTAGGAGGTTCCAGTGAGTAGTGAGAGATGTCCCTGTGGTCTTTAAAGTCTCAGCTCTGAAGTTAAAAAACAATAAAAAAGGAAAAAACAAAACTGTTTTCATCATTCAGCAATGTTGAGAAAAATGGACTTTTAAAATCTTTAAGTAGTTGTGAATTTATTCTGAATACATAAGCAACCTAACTCTTATTACCCAGGCCACAGGATGGAAAAAAGGGGGCCCCAGAGGAGATTTGGGCTGTTTCTTATTGTTTTGTAGACAGCAGCAGCACTATTGGGAACAGTTAGATCTGTTTGACATGAAGTTACTGGACCTTGCTGTCATTTAGTGCCGTTGAGTTGGTTCCGACTCATGGAGACCCTGTACAGGGTTTCTGAGAATTTAAATCTCTATAGGAGCAAAAAGCCAAATCTTTCTTCTTCAGAGCAGCTGGTGGATAAGAACTGCTATGGTTAACAACAGTCCGATGCACAATTCACTACACCACCAGCACCCCTTTTTACTGGGTCTTAGAGAAGTTTACCAAAGAGGTAAGGCAAATAGGTGGCGACTTGGTGGGTGGTCTTAGCTGAAGTGCTCAGGTTTTGCTCAGGTCTCAGACACAGGTTGGGTCTGGTGACTTAAAATCTAGATCTAGTTTCTGTATGTTAAAAAATAAACTGCAACATGATGTCCTAACTTCCCTTCAGTTGTCATTAATGTTGCCCATGTGGCAATTGTTGTTGTTGTTAAGTACCATGGAGTCGGTTCTGACTCATAGTGACCCTTCACAGGGTTTCCTAGGCTGTAAATCTTTATGGGAGCAGAAAGCCTCATCTTTCTCCCAGGGAACAGCTGATAGTTTCCAACTGCTGACCTTGAGGTTCACAGCCCGACTCGTAACCACTACGCTACCAGAGCTCCAATTTGGCTGTAAGTTTTTAATCTCATATTATCTGTCTCGAGAGAAGGGCTGGACAGGTCCATACTTGGCCTCCACAGCAATAGTAGACAACACATTCAAGCATTAACCAACCTTGAGAAGGCGGCAAGCACCACGGGTCAACCTTCTCAGGAAGGCTCTCTGCCACTGTATAAGTAGCATGGAAACACGACACACCTGCTAGTGCCTCAGTTCTGGCTGGTACTGCTGGGCTTTCACAGGGACAATTATTGTGTCAGTGTAAGGAAACAGCAAAGCCACCATCACTCAAGCAAGTACTTGTTATGGAGACGTTCCTTGCAATATTAACATGCTTAGAGATAGGCCTAAGGAAATGGCCTTCTTAAAAAGATGAATCCTTTTCAAATTAATAAAATATTTTTGGGGTACCCACTTTAGCCTTCTGAACTGCAAGGTCGTGATTCAAGCTCATCAGCTGCTCCTGGGAAACCCTATACAGGGTCGCTATGGGTCGGAATCAACTCGACAGCACTTAACAACTTTAGACAAGAAAGTACATGAAGGGGTTATGACTTTTCAACAGTTTGCAGGAACGAAAACTTTCTGGGTCCACATCTTATACACAGTTATACACATGGTATGACAGTTCTCTGGTCCGTTCACCAGGCTTGTCGCTAAGCGCTTCTTCAGCTCGCGGCAGCCTCCACGGAGTGGGGTGCTTGGGAGACTCAGTCAAAAGCCTGCGAACACCACCAGGTTCCCGCGGCGGCGGAGAAAATCATTTGGGATGATTGCAAAAGAGATCATAATCTGTCAAGATACATGCTCAGACAGGGACTATTTGGGGACCCAGGGAAGAAACTTTCTCCTTGCTTGGAAGGGGAAAACAGAGAAAACAGTTTGTCTCAGGTCATTCAGCAAGCTACCGGAACCCAGCTCTCTGGTTTCCTAGTAGGGATTCTCTCTGAAACCTGCCACTCCCTGCCTGTTTCGCCACAGGGTGAACATGTCCCCCAAATGCCTACATCTCCTATTCCCTGATCGCCCGAAGCATTACCAGTGGCTAGGATCCAACAGCTCCTGCAGGGCCTCCTCCGCTAATGCACACAAAGCCTTCAGGGCATACTTCGTTGGCCCAGAAAACCACATTTCCCGACAGGCAACGGAATTTACACGCTATAAAACGGGTATGAGGTCCCGAAAGGGTCAATCCGCGCCGAGTGTTGGCCTATCACTTGAAAGACTTGGGCAAATACTCCAAGCTGCCTTCGCCTCCCCTGTGGGAAGAGCAAACCGCAGGAGGCTGAGCCTCGGGGGCGGGGCCACAGGGGGCGCTACCCAGCACTGTCCCAGTCCGCGACCTGCAGTCGAGTCGGCACGATGTGGCCTGTGCTGCTGGTTGTGCTGCTGTTGGCGATCCTTTACATACTTTACTATGTGCGGTTCTCTAGCAGCTCCCCGAACCCCTTCTGGGAGGATGTCAAGCGGACGCCCGCGCCCCTGGTGACCGACAAAGAAGCGAGGAAGAAAGTTCTCAAACAAGGTTAGTGGGAGGGATCCTGGCGTCCGGCACCATGCTCATGGGCCTCAGTTCCACCATATATAAAGTGCTGGGACTGTTTCCTTGCATGTGTGTGTGGTGGGGAGACCTGTTGTAGTAGCGGCTCCTGGAGAGAGTCCCCCGCAAGCCCAAGGGCGAGGGCACCGTCCTTCACCTGCCAGTCTCTGCACAGCCAAGTCCTGACCCCGCCTCTTGGCATCTCCGCGACCACGGGACAGGCAGGGAGAGACTTTTCCCCGACTTGGCTCCAGCCTTAATTTTCTTCTGCCAATGCTATTATAGGGGTTCAGAGCCTGGAGGAACTGCACAGAAATATCTTTCAACTTGCCAAGGAAATTGTGTTTTGTTTGTCAAATGATGTGAGTATTTATTTCTGTGCTGCCGAAGTCAAAGGAGTAGCCCTGGTTCTAAAATTGAGGGAGGATTGGCAAAGTGCTTCAGGCTCAGAACTGCGCTCCCTTCAGATGAAAACCCTCATTGTCTTTAAAATGTCTTGAGATTGCAGCTAAGATTTGAGGAGTTCTGCTCTAGAAAGAAAAAGAAAGAGAAAGAAAGAAGGCAGGGAGGGAGAAAAGGTGGGAAGGAGGCAGGGAAGGAGAGAAGGAAGGAATAAGGGAGGAAGAGAAGGAAGGAAGAACCCCCAGCTTGACTTTTGGGACTTCTTTCACCTACGTCTGTATGGCGGCTTGCTACACAGTTGTTTTAAGTGCAAGGACGGTTAGTCTGAAAGTCTGAAACTTTTCGGGAAAAAGCAACCTGGTGCCGCTCATCAAAGGCAGTAAAAGAGAGTCAACAGTCAGGGAGTGGTCTTATGTTGGTTCACATCAGGAGATCACATGTCATTGCTGGGGTGATTTAGCTCTTGCCTATCAAAAGCCATGTTTGCCCTTTAAACTATGCGCCTTGTAGTTTAGGAGGAGGGGGCTGGAAATAAACCTAGGATTACACAATGATACAACCTTGCTTGCTGAAAGTGAAGAGGACTTAACACATTTACTGATGAAGATCAAAGAGCACAACCTTCGGAATAGATTACATCTTAATGTCAAGGAAAGAAAAATCCTCACCACTGGTCCAATAAACAACATTCTTATCAGTGGAGAAAAGATTGAAGTTGTCAAGGACTTCATTCTTCTTAGATTAACTATCAACACTCAAGGAAGCAGCAGTCAAGAAATCGAAGGACGTATTGCATTAGGCAGATCTGCTGCACAAGACCTTTCTA